ACCAAGTGAGAAAGAAAAACACACCAGTGCAAAGCTATTTCCCAGACCCTATATAGGGACATCCACATCCCAGCAAGCTGGTGCGGCTGCTGGCTTCGGTGTGGTGTAACGGAAGATCACAGGCCCTGGGGGCAGGCGACCTGGCTCTGAACCCCAGGCCCACCTCTTATAGGCTGTGGGATCCTCAGAAAGTTCCTTGAGCTCTGTAAAACGGAGTTTCACATCAATAAAAGTAGATGCTACTATCCACGCTCAAAGACTGGCCATCATCAAAAGCCCCTCACCCAGGCTAGTACCTTTTTCTACACCACCTGGAGCACATCTTTCTCCTTCCTCTCTGAAAGCCACCAGGCAAATGGCTCTGGGACTTACTACACTATTCTAGCAGCCAGCACCTTCTACAGGAGCCTCGTCTGCCGAAGTTTTCTAAAAATCCCTGCTTTTTCCATCCTTCCTTGCAGCAAGGTGCACGTCAGGGGAAAGGCAAGGAAATGGGGTGTGCACGTGAATCCAGGATGTACAGGGAACGGGGAGCAACAGCCCCGTGCTGCAGACAGACCCCCGGAACTGCCAGCCTCAAGAGCGTTTCTGAGCACCCCTCCTGTTCACTGCACCGGAACCATCACGATGACACTCAGCCCCCATATCATATACCTTTCGGTTCCAAAACATTGGACAAACGGTAATGCATCCAAAAGCCATTAAGAGAAATTAGACTTTCAAAAACCAAGGGTGTTAAGAGTACTGGAGGTTTCCAAATGAAGCCCAGAGTTCAGGGGTCAGTGCAAGCAAAGAACGCCTCAGGAATAATGCATCTACCTCGCCAAAGTCCCCCGTTCATTGCTGGGGAAACTGGCAGGAACAATGAGAACACATCCCAGAACCAACCAGCAGATGCGAAAGGGGCGCTTGCTGGTGGTGGCTGCCCGGAGGGCCACGGGAACTCTGCGCCAACCCCTCCCTCCTGGCCTCATCCCCATGGCAAGCCCCAGGCTCTGTACAACGCTCTTCCTCTTGAACTAGCAGCCTACCTCCGTCCTGCACTGCCCATCCCCTGGTCCGCATCCCTGAGGGGTGGTGCACCAACGGGCTCCCTGGGCTCCACAGCGGGCGGCTTGCCTCAGCTCCCGGCAGGCCCAGCTGTGAGCTAGAACTTACAGCCAACGGTCGGGAGCCAAGGATAGAAAGTTCCGGGGCGGGGCGCCTGGGTGGCTCAGTCGTTAAGCGTCTGCCTTCGGCTCAGGTCGTGATCCCAGGGTCCTGGGATCGAGCCCCGCATCAGGCTCCCTGCTCGGTGGGAAGCCTGCTTCTCCCTCTCCCACTCCCCCTGCTTGTGTTCCCTCTCTCGCTGTGTCTCTCTCTGTCAAATAAATAAATAAAATCTTAAAAAAAAAAAAAAGAAAGTTCCGGGGCTCTTGCCGATTTCTGCTATCACTTACCCTTTTTGGGAGAAGTGGTACAGGTTTTCTCCATCTTCTTGCAACAAAACAAATAAACCACTCCCCCCGCCCCATCCCACTTTCCATTCATCTTCTCCATCAGCCTTCCATCTCTGACTCAGCGCTCAGGGCATCTGTCCTCAATGGTCCTCGCAACCGGCAAACAACAGTTTGTGAATAGCGCACTGAGCACAACACATCACACCATCTGATCCCCCCCACCCCCTATGATCCCCAACCTCCCTTTCACAGGTGAGGAAAATGAGATTCAGAAGGTTAGGTGACTTCCCCAGTGTGACTGGGCTCATGGGGCCGCATCAACTTCAGGGGCACTAAGTTAGCGATTCTAACAGTGTCACAACCAGCGGCCAAGCAGAGCAAGAGGAAGGGGCAAGTTGAGCAGGTGGGCAACGGTATTAACGACTTGTTTCGGGGGCGCCTGGGTGGCGCAGTCGGTTAGGCAGCTGACTCTTGATTTGGGCTCAGGTCACGCTCTCAGGGTTGTGGGATCAAGCCCCACGTCAGGCTCCATCACACTCAGCAGGGAGTCTGCTTGAGATTCTCTCTCTCCCCTTGCCCCTCCCCCCACTCACACTCTCGAAATAAATAAGTGAAATCTTAAAAAAATAAAGACTTGTTCTAGGAACAATGGAACACCTACCATATGGCTTACATAAATTGTGGCTGCATCTCAACATACTACTGACCAAAAAACGACAAGAGACACACACAGCAGGGTTACCATTTACACAAGGTTCGAGAACAGGCACAATTCAATACTGTTAAGAAGGCATTAGCAGGGATACCTGAGTGGCTCAGTTGGTTAAGCATCTGCCTTTGGCTCAGGTCATAATCTCAGGGTCCTGGGATCGAGTCCCGCATCCGGCTCCCTGCTTATTTGGGAGTCTGCTTCTCCATCCTTTTCTGCCTCTCCTCCCCCAGGTGCTCACGCTCTCTCTCTAATGTTCACTGTCCCTCACTCTCTCTAAAATAAACAAATAAAATCTTAAAAAAAAAAAAAAAAGAAGGCATTAGCAATGATGAAACCAGAGACACACAAGGAAGAAAATGACCACTAGAGTCAAGGTGGGGCTTCCATTTTCGGTGGGAGGAGGGGCTTCTGAGTGTAGGTGCCCTGGAAAGACCGTTTATCTTAGGACTATTCATTAAACATCCAAGTTCCAAGCACTCTTCTGTATGTATGTCCTATTTCACAATGTAATGCAAGAATTACTAGAGAAAAAGAATGTGGAACCACTGAGTGACCTAACTAAATCCGTGTCATTTCTGATTCCTAACCCTTCAAAACTATCTCTTACACCCCAAAAATGCCAATGGAGGTAAAGCACAACTTCCAAGTTTATCGGTCAATTCTATCCCCAGGGCAATTAACCCACTAGAGGTGCACTAGAAAGATCTAGAAAGATCTAGACCTGTATCACCTCAGATAAGAAGGACCGTTAACAGCAACCCTGGGCCTGCTCGATCTTCTTCTCTCCAGGAGGGATAAACGAAGGACTCATCTCCTGGTCAACACCTCTTTGTCATGCTCCTTCTAGTGTCATCCACTGTTTGACAGAATTTACACTGAATACCAAACACTGTTTAGAGCGACCAGGTCCCAGCTGAGGGGCCGGGGGCTTCTGCTCTCCTGGGAGCCCCGCTTTCTGTTCCCTCCTGTGTGAGGGACGTTCCCACAGGTGGCTCGGGGCAGAAGAGGCTCAGGATGCCGGGTACTAGATACAGATGACCTGACTTCCAGTCCCCACTTAGCCGTTCAGTATTGGAAAGGCCTTGTGAACACTCCACAAAGTGTAAGAACAGATCAGACTCAAGATTCCTCATCTGGGATAAATGTGGGACAATGGTTCCCATTCTTTACAGAGATGCTATACAGAACAAAAGAACAGATGTGAGCCTTCTGAAGCCTGGAGCCTTCTGAAGCCTGGTAGGTAGTCAATAAGCAGTATTACTGTTATAAAACAACAACAACAACAAAAAACCAATGACACAGGGCGCCCGGGTGGCTCAGTCAGTTAAGCGTCTGCCTCCGGCTCAGGTCATGATCCCAGAGTCCTGGGATCGAGTCCTTCATCGGGCTCCCTGCTCAGCGGGGAGCCTGCTTCTCCCTCCGCGCCTCCCCGTTCGTGCTCTCTCTCTCTCTCTAGCTCTCAAATAAATAAAATCTTAAAAAAAACAAAAAACAATGACACTGTAGCTCTATTATGGAGGATAAAATGCATTTTTTGGTCTCCCATCCAACTTCTCACACTGTACGGCTGGTTGCTCTTTTTTTTTTTTTTTAAGATTTTATTTATTTATTTGATAGAGAAAGTGAGAGAGAGAGGCCAAGAGGGCGTAGGGTCAGAGGGAGAAGCAGACTCCCTGCTGAGCAGGGAGCCCGATGTGGGACTCGATCCCGGGACTCTGGGATCATGACCTGAGCCGAAGGCAGTCGCTTAACCAACTGAGCCACCCAGGCGCCCCGGCTGGTTGCTCTTGGGACAACTCTTGATCCTTTCTTCTCATATGATTGGAAAGCACAAAAATACTTATCTTAAAATCCTTATGAATCCTTAACAGAAGATTTAACTCCACTACCAGAAACAATTCCTGTGTCCCAACTTCCTTACAACGATGAAACATGAGGAGAAATAAAATTCAAAATTTACAAAAATGGAGACACAGGTAAATTACCTAGTGGCCAGTCTATAATTGTCACATTAATTAAGACCAGTAAGAGACACACATAATCACAACGTACACTTTCCAAAAGCCCAAATGTAACCAGAGAGTTTCTAATCTCTTTTTCTGGCAATAGCAAATGAACTTTCTGACCAGTGAAGGTGTTCATAATTAGGAAAATATGCAAAAGGCAGCAAAGTCAAGAAGAAAGGTCCTAGACCAAACAATACTCCAGCTGATCTGCAAATAATAGCGGACTAGTTCAGCTCCTGTTCACATGGGATTTCTACTGTTATAGAAGTTTTCTACTGGCAAGTTAGGAGAGGGATACAGATGACCCAAATGAGTTAAACTCAAATCCAGTTACACTATTTTCATTTTTTAAAATATAAACTCTTTAGTAAGGAGTGACACAGACCTTTGTTCAAAGGTGTCCCATGGGGACGCCTGGGTGGCTCAGTCAGTTAAGTATCTGCCTTCGGCTCAGGTCATGATCCCAGAGTCCTGGGATCGAGCCCCGCATCAGGCTCCACACTCAGCGGGGAGTCTGCTTCTCCCTCTCTCTGCTTCTCCCCCTGCTTGTGCTCTCTTTCTCTGACAAATAAATAAAATCTTTTTAAAAAAAACAACAAAGGTGTCCCATGGTAAGAAACATCTGATGACATTTAGCAGAGATCAAAAGCCCACACCCTGTGATGTCGATCTGGATTTTAGTTTTTATGGAGAGCCAGTTTGCAGACCCTCCATTGCCGCTGCCTGTTCTTTTCGTAATGATCCCAACTCGTCCCAGTAAGAAGGCACTGACACAGCTCCCCCGAAACACTGAACAGCCCTCTCTTTGCTTTCCCCATCTGGACGGTGTTCCGCCATACCTACCATAATGGTGTGTTCTGGAAATCGGGCACGCACCAGCTTCACGAACTCCACAAAATGTTCTGAATACCCGTTGGCCACATCCAGGCATATGAACTTGACCTGCGGCACCGCTTCCAAGATGTCGCTCATCTTTTCCAGATCGCTCTTCCCACTGCCCGAACTCACGGCTACGTGCTGCACCAAAATAAACCGAGAGGCACAAGACGTGAGGAGTCAGGAGCATTCCAAAGTCAGACCCTGCCTCCATCCATTCTCCTCTCGTGGGGAGACTGCTGTGAGTGTTTGAGGTTCACCCGGACCAAAGAGACACACGGTGGATCTGCTCAAGAAACACGCCACGGCGGAGGTAAAGGAGATTTGTCCTCGGCCACAGAATCTTCCAATAAACAGACTTTTAATTACTCAGGAAACCTACTCCTTGGCCTTTTCTTAATTTCCTCACACTGTGTGGAACTCTGAAACTGTGGAGCTGCTCGTGCAAATTCTGCTCTTCTTGGGGGAGAGGCAGGAGGAACGAGGTCCTCCCACCAACGCCGTGGCTGTCACCCTCACGGCTGGCACGGGCAACAGGAGGGCAAGGAAGATGTCTACACTCTTCTGATAAAACTTCCAGCTTTCGTCTTGACTCTCAATACAGTACCATCACAACATGCAAATCGTAACCCACTCAAAAAACTGCAATACTCAGGGTTCCTATGAAAAGGGCAACATGGCCAGAAGGTGCAAGACCGGACAAGCCTGTGATGCTGTTTCCCAACAGCACCTGTCTGTGTGGACATCTGAAGCCACCACACCCTCCTCGGTGATACCCTCTTCCCCAACCTCCACGGCACCAGCGGTCTCCAACCCATCCCTCTGCTCCTGGGAAAATCTGCTTTCTAGGATGAGATTTGTTTTTAGTCATGGATGCCTTTGTGCAACTGAGTCGTGGTTTTGTGCCCAGGGTCAGCATCTCACCTTTTGTAAGAATATTTGTATTTTATGACACTTCTCTAAGCCACAAGCCACCGACGGCGGGGGGGGGGGAACTACACATAACTGAATACCCTTTGTGATTCCCCCCAAATCACAACAATGTATTAATGACACAGATACTGTATGTAAACAGCCTGGTAACTTGATTCATGTTTACTCCAGTTTCCTGCGTTCAGATCAGTTTTCCCTCCTCATGCTGCCAGTCTGCCTGGGGCTGGTCCAATCCATCCCTCCCGCTAGAGCTTTACTACCTTCCTTGTTTCCCTTTCATTTCTGTTAAAGTTTGCTAAGTGGAACTCGAGATTGGTTCATTTCTTTTAGTGTTACCAAGTTTTGGACATTTTCGCCTCTTTCGTTAGCCTTTGATTTGGTCGGGGGCAGAGTAGCAAGTCAAACAATCATGCTTGGTAATGAAGGACCAGGTTCTAATCAACAACACATTTCCAAAAACCCCTGTACAGGAGTGAGAGGTATGACCGCCCCCCCCCCAAAAAAATCATCGCTCTCCAAACTTCTTCCAGGAAGGAAAGACAGTGAAGTGATTAATATTCATTCAGACACGAAATGGAAAAAATGAAGGACTTGATATTGAGCCAGGATTACTGTATCTCCAAAAACAACCTTTTCACTAATCAAAATCCACAGAGTACAGCCAAGGGGAAAAAAAAAGCCAGTATAACTTCAAAAGATGAAGTCATTTTCCAATCACAAATGATCTGATCACAGAGAAGAGCGTCTCCAACGCGAAGAAACTTCTCTGCAGGCACTTGGCTCCGAACCACCCAAATGTGCCAGGTGGCCAGTCAGGTGTGTTACATAATAACAAGAGTTTTTGTTATTTTCAAACTGCCTTCTTTTTTTTTTTTTAATAACAGCTTTACGGAGATATAATTACATACCACACGCTTCACCCATTTAGAGTGCACAATTCAATAGTTTTTCATATATTCAGCGTTGTGAAACTGCCATCACAATTTTAAAACATTTGTCCCTCCCACACGCGTTGGCCCTCACCCTCAAATTCCCACCCCCCAGCCTTAGGCAACCTCTCATCTACTTTGTCTCTGTAGGTTGGCCTATTTTTGACGTTTCACATAAACAGAAACATATTTTCACGTCTGGCTTTTTCACTCGGCAAAATGTTTTCAAGGTTCATCATCCGCGTTGTAGCATGAATCAGGGCTTCATCCCTTTTTATGGTTGAATAATATTCCGTCGTATGGACATACCAGCTTTTGTTTATTCGTTCATCAGCTCGCGGACACTCGGGTGCTTTCTACCTTTCCGCTCTCACGAATAACACCGCTATGAACATTTGTGTACATGTTTCTGTGCGGACCCCTACTTTTCTGTCTGCGAGGTCTACACCTAGAAATGCAATCGCTGGGTCGAGTCGTAGCTCTGCTGTCTGACGTTCTGAGCAACAGCCAAAGCAGGTGCACCATTTACATACCCCCCAGCAATGCGGGAGGGGTCCAATTTCTTCACATCCACGCCAACGCTCGTTAGCGTCAGTTTTTCGGATTACAGCCTTCCTAGTGGGCAGTGTTTATTCAACTTCAAAACAACTTGTTATAATTCGATGTTTTTCCTCCAGTCAGAGGACTGTTCAGACTGGATGCACCCCTTGCAGGAAACCGAGGTCTTCCACAGGCTCTGTACCACCAAATTTTTCAAGGAAAAAAAGCCCCAGATATTCCTGGTAGAGAGATCCTAATATTTTCCAAAATCGGATCCAGAGCAGGTTTCCCTGGCAATGTTGAAGGGCAGGGCCCACTACTACCTTTCCACGGGACTCTCTCTAGGGACTCTGCCGGTCTGTCCGCTTCCAATTCAAATCCTGGCAACTACCCTGAAGTGTCTCTCCCCTGCCCCCCTGCCAGAAATGTAACTTATCACCGGAGAGCAGTCATACCTGCAGACATTCTGGGTGATGAGCCGCGAAGAGCTTCCACTCGTCCAAGGTGTAGTGCTTTTGAATTGCCGTGAACATGGAGTGCTAGGGGACCAAACAGCACTGTTAGGACAGGAAGTCAAGCGAGCCCGCTCTCCTCCCTGCATGGGCCAGGGGGGACCTGACAACACAAAAGAATGGGCTGTTCCTTCCAGTTCACGCTTCATTTGCTTTAAATATGCTGAGGGCCAAGAACAGACAAATGTGTCACTGGTAGAATCACACAGCCGTGTTTTCCATTCTAATCTGATCAGACAACCCTGCATCTGGGACTCAGGAGGCTCTGCCGGGAGGCCAGGGAGGGAAGAAGAAGAAGGGTTCTCAGGGCCCTGTCCCGGCCCCACTGGCTGAGTCAGGCCCAGAGCATCGGGCAGCAGGTGCCCTGCCCCGAAGAGCACCCGAGGGCCAACTGCTGATGGCCAACCCAAGAGAACCTCAACTCATACCTGAAAGCTTCGCTTTGTGTTCAGTCTCAACATGTCTTGTTAAAAGCTAAACCCAACAGGCAGCTGGGATTCTGGAGGGAGGGAATTCGACAAATCGTAATCCCACACCCATGACTACTAACCCAATCCAACATCAACACTTGGGCGCAAGCCCCTCGTGTGCTATTTCGTTTACTTCTCCGAGCAACTTCGTACAGTCATACTAGCTTCGTGGACAGAAATGGAGCTTAAGCAATTTAACAACAGCTTGGCCATAAAGGGGCCAAGGCCAGAATCAAACTCAAATCTGACTACAGAGCCCAGGTTCCTGCCCCTCTCCCAACCTCACTGGGTCTATTTTCCTATCTACACTTTCCCACTCTAAAATCCCATGCCTTTATGAACTCGCACTAAATCAGTGGATCCTAGAGGCAAAAAATTCATAGTACACACACACACACACACACACACACACACACGGTTTCAGGGTACGCTACTTTACTGTGTTTTCAATGGACACGGTCTCAAATGACGGGGAGTCCTTCCTGTGAAAGTTCCACATTTTTTATGGACTCACAACTCGATATGGGAATGAATCTGGACTACTGATTCGCTCCCTGATTCCACCCACTTTCCCACTAATACATAATTCATTAGTAGCGATGGCTGATCACAGAGCAGAGCAAGGGAAAGACCAGGAGAAAAAAAAAATACAAATTTCTTTAGCAATTAATTAATTAGCCTCCGGGCCGAAGCTCGGTGGGGGCTGTGGGCTGACAGAGACTACAACTGATCACGGAGCCAGACAGACCACCCCCTACTCCATTTTTCGAATTCATCATCGGTTTAAAAATCTTCCTTCTACACTGGCTAATAATGAATCCTTGCACCTCCTGAGGTTTGACTTGCTGCCCACAGCGAGAAGCTCTTTCAACTAATTGGATTTCTCTTTCCACTCGGCAGGCATTATCGATGGAAAAAGACACACAAACTGTGCACATCAGAAGCAAACATTTCACATCTGGGATGAATCAGGTGCGTTGCACCTCAGACCCAGCCGCATGGGACAGAGGTCCTGCCCACAAACAGCTTTTCCTTTACTTCTCCCAATGCCAGGATACCAGCTACTCGCTTTATAGGAAATGAGACTGGTAAATTGGCCAGAAGGGACCTTGAGCTTCTACTGTTAGCTGTCAGTGTGAGTTGGGAGGCAAATCCCTTATTCTGGAGTCAGTCTGGGTTTGAATCTTGAATGTACTGGACTGAATGCCCTGAGCCAAGGGACCTCTCCTCTCCCTCTCTGCCTCAGTTCTGTAAAAGGAACCCCCCCAGAGGGGCTGTGGCAACATTACACACATTCTATCCACTGTTTGGCACCTAAGTGCTCAACAAATGTTTTGTAATAAATGTTACTGCATAGACTGCATACGAAGCAGTTCTGCCTTAATTTCAAAGGCAAGGTTGCTCTTCTATAATATGACACCAGTCTAACTTTATAAGATCTCTAGTTTCTCAAACTATCGTGAGCATTTTCAAGGAAGAAGGGGATGCAGATCTAGACCATTTCATGGAATGCGAAGTCCACGCTCCATCCATCTTCTGACTGCAAAGGGAAGATAAGAAGTGTCCCCCAGCATCCATCAGACTCAGAACTAAACAGTCTGGCCACAGTGAATGACCCAAAGCGTTTCAATTTTCTCTCCTCCTCCTTGTGTCTGAACAAGTCCAGGATGGGCTCCTGACAACCCGTCCAGGGTAAGCAGCAGAGGGAACAAAGCCCACCTCTTACCTGGGACATCACCACCGCCATCTCGAATGTCCCCACGGTGTCCATGTTGGCCACGATGATGGGAATCCCTGCGTAGGTCTGCTTCGAATTTCGAAACGTGAAGGTACGCTCAAGATCCACCTATTGGCAGAAAGGGAAAAGGAGTGCTTTGCTCTTTAAGTGGTTTGTGAAGAATTTCGAGAGTTTGGAGCAAGGGAAGAACAAAAAGGAAGTGCAGGTCCTTTGGTCCCTTGGTCTCTTGGGTGCTGAGCCAGGTGTTCCAAAGACAGGAGAGTTCCTCAGGAGACCGAGTGACAGGTTGTCATCCAGGGACAAAGCTGAACCGGCCTCGTTACGATCCTCAAGCGTCAGTACAAGGCACCAGACGTCCTGCCATCAAACCAAACCTCGGAACCAGAAGCTTGTCTCCTTCAGTAGCCTCTCCCCACCCACGGCCACCTTCTGTCCCCAGCCTGATCCATCCTGGCCCTAAATACCCACATACATGCTATCTTCCCCACTTCCAAGCACCAGAGGGACCATTCCCCTTCTGGAAAAATTCACTCCACTCTTCCCTGCCAAGCATGGTTTTCCCTTTCATTCTTACTCTCAGAGAACCAGACACTACAAATTCACCCTGCAGTGAGCTGCAAACCATTAATCCCTTAACCTGTCAACCTTCTCAGTGGCTTTGTGATTCTGAGCATCTTTCAGAGAGCTGAGAGGAAGTACTTGCAACCGTGCGTCTCCGCATATCAACACTTGCTCCTTTGACATGCAAGTGGTGGAGGGAGGGGGAGGGCCCTCCCATTCTACTGTAACTCCAACTTCAGGGCATTTGTGGCTAAGCCAGCTATCAGGAATCCAGAACTAGCCGAGATGGGGGGCTCAGTAAAAGCTGTGCGCTAGGGCCCCGCGCTCACCAAGAGGTAGCAGAGTCAGAACCACTTCTGTGACCCAAGCAGATCCAAGGCTTACAGGCTCTTGGATCCATTTTTCACCCTTTTCCTGCCCCCCTCTTACCAGAGGAAGGCCACCCTTCCCCCACCCCACCCCACGCCACATCAAGGCTCCACTGCCCAGGTTGGTTTCTGGCTGGGTTCAGCCAATGAAGAAACTGGGTAGGAAACTGAAGGATAGTGCGGAACAAGGGACGGGGGCCTGTATGTAGTCAGAGCATGTCTCCCAGAACCCCTCTGCCTTGGCCTGCGTGGTCTTGGTTCCAGCTTTCACAGAGTGATCGCAGGACTTGGGCTCCAGTAACATCACCTCCTCCCCTCTGGAAGTGGTTTTCCACTTTTGCCAATCTCTGGGGTGCCCCAAGATCTCATCGGGCATGTCAGCGGCGCTCGGAGAGCTTGCATTAAATTTCCTGTTTTACATATTCAGCACTGTTTGAGGCGGACCTGGACAGGCACAAGACCATCCTGGAAGTGCGTGCCTCCCCAAAGGAGAACCGGCAGGAGACACAGAGGCGTGCATCTTGAGCCTCTGAAATAATTCCGACCTACATTAATCGTGGCTTCATGAGTTCATCGGCAATCATCATTTCCTACCAGTGTTTACCTACCCTTCCCCTATCCCTTTTCATTTGAGACAACTTTCCCTTTGCAATCACATGTCAAAAAACACCAAGGGACACCTCGGGCCATTTAGCCTTTCCACACATCTCCCTTGTTCTCTACACAACTCCACGTCCACGAGGCTTCCTGGGTGAATGACGTCATAGGTATGTCTGCTCTGGCCTTAAAAGCGAAGATGAGGGGAAATGAGATGGAGTCACTGCACGAGCAGGTGGGGCAGCTCACTCATCCCCTTCTCTGCTTCCTTCATTATGATTCTTGGCTCTTCTTCAGTGAAGCAAGTTCGATTTACATTCTGAGAGCTAACTGAAGGAGTCTATCAGTTGTAACTTTCTGTGCTGCTGAGGGCACTCTAACATTCTGGCTTTAATGGCTTAAAATAATCAGAATCCCTAGGTCTCAAATGACTCATACTCCTCCCAAGATGCATGGGGAGGGCTGCTACACTCTGCACTCAGCTGAGCTCACAGTGGGTTTTTCTGGGCACCCCAAGACCCTACCCACAGTATGGAAAAAACAGAGCCCTTCATGGAAAAAGGTCAGCCTTGACAGTGAACTCCTGCCCTTATTTCTAGTCTTCATGTGGTAGATTCCACACTATCCTTAATTCTAGGAATGAGAAATAAAATTATCTTCCCCAAGTAAGAATAAACTATCAGGACTACATAAAAATAAAAAGCTTTGGGTTGCCTGGGTGGCTCAGTCGGTTAAGCATCTGCCTTCAGCTCAGGTCATGATCCCAGGGTCCTGGGATTGAGCCCCGCGTCGGGCTCCCTGCTCAGTGGGGAGTCTGCTTCTCCCTCTCCCTCTGCCCCTCTCCCGGCTTGTGCTCTGTCTCTGTCTCTCTCTCTCTAATAAATTAATAAAATCTTTAAAAATTTTTTAAAAAATAAAAAGCTTTTGCACAGCAAAGGAAATAATCAACAAAACAATAAGGCAACTTATGGAATGGGAGAAGATATTTGCAAATTATATATCCGATAAAGTGTTAGTATCCAAAATATATAAACTTATCAAACTCAACACCACAAAAAGGAATAATCCAATTAAAAATGGGCAGAGCACCTGAACAGACATTTCTCCAAAGAAGACATAGAGATGACCAACAGACACATGAAAAGATGCTCAACATCACTCATTATAAGGGAAAAGCAAAGCAAAACTACAACAAGATATTACCACCTCACACCAGTCAGAATAGCGAAAATCAAAAAGATGAGAAACAAGAGATGTTGGCAGGGATGTGGAGGAAAAAGGAACCCTCCTGCACTGTTGATGAGAAGGCAAGCTGGTACAGCCACTCGAAAATAGTAAAGAGGTTCCGCAAAAACTTAAAAATAGAACTACCCTATGATCCATCAATTGCACTACTGGGTATTTACCCCCCAAAATACAAAAACATTAATTCAAAGGGATACATGCACCTCTATGTTATATCAGAATTAGTCACAACAGACAAATTATGGAAACAGCCCAAGTGTCTACCAACTAATGAATGGATAGGAAAGCTGTGATACATATACACTATGGAATATTACTTGGCCATAAAAAAGAATGAAATCTTGCCATTTGCAACAACATAGATGGAGCTAGAGAATATAATGCTAAGTGAAATAAATGAGAGAAAGACAAACACCACATGATTTCACTCATATGTGGAACTTAAGAAACAAAACAAATGAACAAAGGAAAAAGAGAAAGGGAGACTAGCCAAGAAACAGACTCGGAACTATAGAAAACACATTCAGGGTTCCCAGAGGGAGGGGGTGGCGGATGGATGAAACAGGTGATGGGAAGTAAGGAGGGCACTTTTGTGAGGAGCACCAGGTGATGTATGGACTTGCTGAATTACTATATTGTACACCTGAAACTAATATTACACTGTATGTTCACTATACAATATCAAACACTATAGATTTTAAAAAATAAAAATAAATTAAAAAAAAATTTTAAATTATCTTCCCCGATCTTATCCATACAGACAAAAAGACACATACACTGCCCCCCCAAAAAATACACCACTTGTTCACTGAGAGAGATGTTTTAAATATTCCAGCCTCCCAGGAACAAAACTTGGCATTTAATCTGCCACAGCTGGTCAATGCACCAAATAAAGCACCTCCAAGTTCCCACTCTGCTAAGCCTGATTTGCAAGGGAACATAGAGTCATAAACTACCCCTCCCCCACCTCAAAAACACATGTTTCTGCTGCCCTTTAAACACACCTTCATTAACATCAGGCCTACAGCCCAACACTGGGGGGGCCAAAAACAAAATGGGGGCCCACCTACCCCATTTCTTTTTTTTTTTTTTTTTTAATTTTTATTTTTTTATTTTTATTTTTTTGCGAGAGAGAGAATGAGAGAGAGCACGAGAGGGAGGAGGGTCAGAGGGAGAAGCAGACTCCCCGCTAAGCAGGGAGCCCGATGCGGGACTCGATCCCGGGACTCCAGGATCATGACCCGAGCCGAAGGCAGTCGCCCAACCAACTGAGCCACCCAGGCGCCCCCACCTACCCCATTTCTAAAGACTCAATGTTAGATTGAGCTAACAGGCTTACCCAGAAGCATAAGCCTTCTACATCGTGTTCTATCCTCCCACCGTGACAAACACAATTTCATTAATCGTCTGGAAAGTACTAGAAGATGGTGTCATGGGGAGCCAGTCCCCGGCCTCCGGGTCCACACCCTCTCCTCGTCCCACACAAATCCTGACGTGCACACACAGACACTCCAGTCTGCACACTAAACTCCATGCACACACGCACCCACGCTCACACACAGCTGCCGCTGGACCACTCTCTGACGTTGGAGGTGAGCACACCAGCAGCATGGCAGGTCCTTGGGAAAACACACCTTGGAAAGGAGCCCTTGCCAGCCCTGAAACTAGCCTGAAGTCATCTGGGCAAGGAAATCCAGGATCCTGAGTTCCTAGAACATGACCTAGAGGATAAGCCTGGCCCACCGGCCCTGTCCAGTGAGGAGGAGGGTACAGGGGAGCAGAAGGGCTGTGTGGGGTGGGGGCCCCTTTTGCCTGGATCTATAGGTGGTACTGATTGAAGCAATTCTCTTATTAAATAAATTACTATCTGTCTCGCCTGTAAAAGGCAAGTCTACAGGGAGAATCCCTCTTATCTTTATAGTCCTAGTGGCTAAAAGTGTGGAAGAAATTAATATCCGACCAAGGGGTAAGAATGATACTGTATTTTCTGGGCAATGCTTGGTGGGCCCCAACCCAGCTTCCTGAATGTTCTGTCCCCTGCAGGCTTCACCACCAGTTGGCAGGATCTGGAGAAGCTTGTGCAGCTGTGTGTTACCAGATCCACAAACGGAAAGGACTCCAGCAGCTAGCCCAGAGCATCTGTGTGCGCATCAGAATCATTGTAGGATGGTTTCCAAAATACACATGCTCACGCTGCTCCCAACTTAGTAAGAACCTTTGTGTTGGAGACAATATGTGTATTTTGGAGTGTCTCCCTAGGTGATTCATTAAGAACAATTCTACTCAAACCCTCTAATTTTACAGAGGCTGTTATGGTTTGCAATGTGTCTTCCAAAAAGATGCCAAAATGCCAACCAGCAGTACCTGTGAATTGTAATAGGGTCTTTGCTGATGATCAAAGTAAGAGATCAGCAGGGTAGGGTCCATCCCAGTATGACTGGTGTTTGCAAAATGGGAAAATGTGGACAGAATGCGAGAACATGGTGTAAAGATGAAGGCAGAGATAGGGAATGAGGCCTCTACAAAGCAAGGAACACCCAAGACTGTGGGTAAACAACCAGAAGGTAGAAGAGAGAAATGTAACAGATTCTCTCTCACAGCACTGGGCAGGATCTAGCCTGTGGACACTTTGATCTGGAGCTCCTAGCCTCCTGCACTGTGAGACAGTAAATTTCTATTGTGTAAGTTTGTGGAACTTTGTTACAGCGGCCCCATGAAACTAACACAGAGCCAAGGTACTAAAATAGAACAGAGGTTGGACTAAAACCCAGGTCAGCTTGCTCCAAGGCCTATATTCTCTTCACTGCCATGCTCTGAACCCCTATGGGCCAACCTGCTGTGGACCCCCAGGCTGGATGCGAGTTCCCTGGATCTGCTGGTAAAAAAAAAAAAAAAAAAAATCACTAGTGAGTTTTAACATTGTGTCGAGACTTCTCTGTCCTAGGACAAGTGGCCAATTTTCTGCTGCAAATTTCTTCATTGTAGGACTTCCAAAGTTATGGCTGTGTTAGTAAGTTTTGTTTTGTTTTGTTTTTAAATCTTATCCTAAATTAAAGGCTCCAGTGGGACACCAGAGCCAGGAATGGGTTCTGAAGACGAACGGATCAGGGAGTCAAGGAATGACTCGACCTCCCCAGTGTGTCAGATAAAGTTCTTGCTTCAATCAACAAACATGTGACTTCTTTTGAAAGGCTTACCCAAAGGCTCCCATGCAGCCCTGTGGGACTTTATTCTTATGTGCCAGGGACTTGTATGGACGGTTGAGAGAAGACCTCCTATCCAGCACAATCACAATAAGGGAGCTGACCTCAAATTCATTTTTTATGACGCTTGCAGAAACGCCCCTACAGGAGTCCTAGAACGTCTAAGTGGGAAACCACTCTGCCTTTCTCTCCATTTTCCTGCTCACTGCCTGATGATCCATGAGCAGACCTAGCTCTCAGCAAAACCGTTGCAGTGATAAATCTTGTCAAGAGTCAAAACTCCCTTCCCAGCCAGGTCGGCTCTGACAGGCTATGATTTCTCTCCCCTGGCTCCATGCAACTCTACTCGCTGGTTAAGCTCAAACGCTGTCTTTTTACCATTTTAGTTTCCAATTTGCATGCAAGTATTACCTCTGTCAGGGGACGCGCAGCCTAGACTTCTATCTGATCGCACCATGAGAAGTTTTGATCATCTCCCTATAAGAAATTTCAGGCATCCCCAACAAACTGAAAAAACACTGATTAGAAGCCTACTTAGATCAAGGGCTAACTAGATCCCTCCAACATCACCAAAGCAGGCAGATTATGGGATGCAACCAGCAGGCACCTACACCGTTAGGGGAACCTACTGGAAAGACGATTCCAGTTAACTCTGGCTTCCAGGCAGAGAGCTGGCAAGCACCCAGACAAACAAATATGAAAACATTTCTCAAGGGCACAGAGTTCTCACTGCAACATGTACATGGAGATTGCAAGGTGCCACTGGACGCTGGGACACTAACAGTTTCAATCAGCCCAAAGTATGAAACCAAATGATGCATGATATCATACCATTCTCTGGAAAAGAATAATTCACTCTATTACATAAATTCTAAATGTTTTACCTTCTCAAGATGCTGCCCGGCTCAAAAAATACGTATGATCTATCCTTGTTTTAAACATGTCATTTTTCTTAAAATTAAGTTTCTCTCTCCTAAGTGAATTTTGAACAGATACTGAAAGAATATTCAGGCCAGCACCACATTATTCGTCTGCCCAGAATCCCCACATCTTGTCTTGTTCTGGCCTTAGGTACAAACTATTTATTTTTCTTTCAAGGGTCTGCCCTGCTCTTTAAGGACGTGATGAAGGACAGGAGGAGGGTAGTCCAATCTAGAGTGGTGAGGGTTAACCATTCCCGGCCTCTTGCAGTCCTGTCCCGTCCCATCCTCGCCGGCTCCAGCTGCCGCCCCTCCTGCTTGAGAAGGTGACTTGTTCTGGTCACCGGTGAAAAGAGGACGTTTCCTTAATCCAAACCAGCCCTCGGCTGGCAACACCAGGCACTGCAGTCAGGCCTGGGCACAGGCGCGCAGCCGAGTTCCTTGCAAGGGGATTTATTTATGATTCTGTGGCGCTGAGCGTTTGAAAGAGTGTGCTGGCTCGGCTTCCTCCTGTTTACTCCTGCAGCCCCAGCCTCCAGATGGAGTCATTTTCTCACCTCCTTCTCCAGCTCTTAGAAGACCAGGTCACCAGCACACCCTCCTCTGGGGGGACTCTGCTTTTCTGAGCAACTAGTTTATCCTTCAGGCTTTCACCTTCCTCATCCCCAGCAGGGCCATCACTCTCCCTCTCCCCTGGGGCTACTGCCGGTCCAATAGCCACCTGTTCCTCAGGCTTTGATCTCATCAACACCGAACCGGCAAAATTGCCCAGGGTGTCCCTATTTGCCTCCCACCCCCACGCCCCTACGCCAGTGCTTTCTGCTTCCCTAGAACTGGGCCGGACTGCAGCTGTCCAGTAAGCCGGGTGCCACCAGGCACGAGTCCTCAGCCTCACTCCCAGCAAGGTCACTGAAACGTGGGAGGTAAACCCTGAACTTTTGCCGCCCTGGAGTTTGCCTGTTTTTTCAGACATTAAAAAAAAAAAAAAAAAAAAATCCATTGCTGGAGCTGATACTAGAGCAGAGAGCAGCGGTTCTCCGCACCGAGACAGTGCCAAAATCACAAAGCTCTCCAGTTGTTTGTCCTCTCCCTTTACACCTGGGCTCCAGGGGGTCAATTCCTCCCTCTATGCACCCCTCCAGCCACCCCCCGTTGTTTCTAAGTCAGTGGGCCACTTGATCTTTGTTCCTCTGTGGTCTAGTCCGCTGTGTACCTCCCCCCCCCCCCCCCCACCCGACCGGACGTATTTAGATTTTTACACCGGAGCTGGGTCCCTCAAAGATATCTCAAATCCTGGCACGGAACCAGCTGGCTTCCCCCTTTCTCAGCAGGTGGGGAGGCCGGGGTGGGGGGTGGGGGGTCAGCATCCCATCCCTCAACAGACACACGGAAGAACCGGCAAGGTTAGCACATCCCACCTCCTTCCACCGTCCTCTCCCGAGCCTACCCGGAAAACAAATCCCACCCCACTGCGGCTTTCGGAGGGCCCCACCTCGGCTCGGCTCCTGAGGCTGCTTCGCTTGGGTCGGAGCAGGACATCCTTAAAGTCCAGCTTGAGGTCTGCATCTACGCGGGGCATGGTGCGGCTCGGCGCGCGGAGGCAGGCGCGGCTACAGCTCGCAGCTCCTTCCTGCAGCGCGGGCGCCCGGCGCTGGAAGGGCGGGCGGGGGGGCGGGGTGGGGGGCCTGCTTCTCCCTC